CCTAAATGGTTTAAATGATTGGCTTTATGTGCGAGTAGCTTTGATCAAGCGGCAACTAAAGGATATGCTTAATAGATAAGCTGTAAGTACATGAATTCTTCTGTTTTGACATAATAATTAAGTTATTAACTGTCCTTTCAAAACTTATGGAGGCCAGTTATGAATTCTTCTTGTTTACTTGCAGCTTCAGTAGACTTGAAGAGTGCATATAGTTGCCATGGAAGCAGTTAAATATTTGCAGAAGTTTCAAGTTTTGGATTATGTAGTGGGAATTTCCTTAATAAAGATTTGTTACTGTGTCTTTGTTTGTAAGCAATTATGTAGTGGTAAATGATTTGTAAAAACTTGAAACAATTGTTTGCCATGAATGTTCTTTTCTGTAGAGTATTTTAAATCATATCATTTACTACTTAAAGCCAATTAATTTTCTCTTTTCTTTTCTCCCATCCCATAGCTTCTTTTTTTTTTTTTGCGAAATCCCATCCCATAGTTTTGTTGTCAAACTTGAACTTAGTTCATTTTATTTTTAATCATAGTAATGATTTGTTACTGTGTCTTGCACAAATATCTGCAGGACTCTACCACCAACCAAATCAGTATTATCAATTTAATTTACTGTTGTATTGATTTGATTGATTTGGTTAATTTCTGATGTTCTCCAACAATCTGAGATTCTAAAATTGATGTTTTTCGCATGATTCCTTAACCCATTTCTGGGCCTTCCTTCTCAGAAGTGCTTGGTCTGGGCCATATTTGAGCCCAAATAGACATTTAACTGGGCACGCTCATGCAAAATTAGAGCCCAAATAGACGTTTAAGCCCTTTTAAAACTTTTAAAATAATATATTAAAAAACATGTTAAACTAAACAGATTAACAGGTCCATTTAAAAAGCCCTGGAATTGAATTTGGTAAGATAAATTGTCCCCAGCCTTGAGTGTTCACTAATGTCGAGTCAAAAGTGCTTTTAAATCGGAAAGGAGGAACAAAGAAGCAGAGAGAGAGAGAGAGAGAGAGAGAGAGAGAGAGAGAGAGAGAGAGAGAGAGAGAGCAGACAACCACTCGCCAGCCCGCACTGGCTTTTGGTGTGTCTGTGTGCGGAGAGTTGAGAGAGAGCAGATCACCACTCGCCAGCCAGCAGTGGCTTTTGGTTAATTTGTAGGAATAGATATGATTTTGTATTATTTTTAATTGATTCGGACTTCTCCCATTGATTTATTAATTTCAGTTATAGTGCTATTTTAATCAATCGAGCAAAAGCCATAAATCATTCATGCACTGTGAATGAAAAAAAAGCCCATTCATTCTTTAGGGCCCAAAAAGCCCGTTATTAATAGGACTTGGACCGACACTCCTTAGGTAACAAAAGTGATTTTATCATGCACAATGAATGGAGGAAGTTTAATTACATACTAAATTATTCAACCATTTTATTCAGTTTTACTAAATTTATATACACTCTGTCGTTTTTAGAGTGTCTATCTTCGTTTTTGGCATTTGGGGATTTCGCAAGTAACAATTGTGCATAAATCTTCAGCTAGTGGGTCACTTCTTATTTTTACGACTCAAAATCTTGTCCACTAATCACACTTTCATTCTTTCTGTATACAAATTAATTTCCACAAGTCTTCTTGTCCATTAATCTCAAAATTAATGAACTTCTTATATTGAAAAAGACAAATCACCATTCTTAAATACAAATCAAGTCATTCTTAAATAGTTTGGTACGTGTTGGAAGACAAATCACCATATCAAGTCTAAGTCAATAGTTGCGTGGAAAAAACCAAAAAGAAATTTTGGAGCAAAATTTGAGTAGGTACTATCTTAATAATTTGAAACTCAATAGTCAAGAATGTGCTGCCATTAATGCATCATTGAAAAAGTTGCGCAATTTAGCACACTCAAAACTTTTCTCCAATATAGGAATAGAGGGTTGCAGACTTGCAGCATATGACAAAATTTGCATAATATTCAAGCTCGCAAAGACTTTCTTTTCCCCCCTGTATATATGGAGAAGCACCGTGACAACCATATATCAATAATTATACCCTAAACAATTGGATCGTGTTGATCTTGCATTTGAATATATTAACATGCAGGGCCACGAAAGGTGCTTGAAACTCTTTCTTGCATTTGCTCTGCTTTTGCTACAGTACGCCCAAGGAGGAGAGGTGGACCATAGTCACAGGGATACTAATGTGACTGGGAGATGCATAGAGAGGGAAAGGCAAGCACTCCTTGCATTCAAACGTGGCCTGGTGGATAAGTCCGATCTCCTCTCTTCATGGGGTTCAGAAGCCCAAAAACAAGATTGTTGCAGATGGGTGAGAGTTTCTTGTGGCCACCAGATGGACGGGCCATGTTATTCAAGTTGATCTTCATGGACTGTATTCTTTGCAAGGTAAGATGATTAGTCCTAACCTGATTGAGTTACACTATTTACAACATTTGGACCTTGGTGGGATTAATTTAGTTGGGATCCCAGTTCCAGATTTCATTGGTTCTCTAACCAATTTAAGATACCTCGATCTGTCTTTTACTTATTTTGGAGGCAGGTTTCCAAGTCAGGTCGGAAATCTTACGAACTTGCAGTAAATTTGACATTTGAATTTTCATATTTTGCTGACCTGCGTCTGAGTTCGAACCAATTGGAAGGTCCATTCCCCTCATTTCCATAAAAAACCATATATATGGATCTCTCTTATAATAAACTTTCAAGGTCAATTTCGTTCTTGTGTTCAAGTGCAGCTATTGGTTTAAGCTTTCTTGACCTCTCAAACAACAATGTTTCTGGACAAGTTCCAGATTGCTTGACATATTTGACAAATCTAGTTATGCTTGATTTGAGTTACAATGCTTTGTCTGGGAAAATTCCTACAACAATAGGCTACGCATTTCGAATTGAAACACTCAAATTAAGAAGCAATAGATTTGTGGGACAATTGCCTTCGTCGTTGAAGAATTGCACAAGTTTAAAAGTCATTGATGTTGGGGATAATAAATTATCCTGACCAATACCTAAATGGTTAGGGGTTGGCTTAAAGGATTTGGTTATCCTGATGCTTTCGTCTAATCACTTCAATGGAAGCCTGCCCTCACAATCATGCCATCTAACACACATTCAAATTTTGGATTTATCTATGAATATCTCTAGAAGCATACCCAAATGCCACAACAATATGACTACTCTAGCTCAGAAAGGAAATCCAAGTCTGAACATCTCACATTTATTTGTCGTGATGAATAAATCAGTTGTTGCTGAATATGAGGATGATGCAACATTCATATGGAAAGGAAGAGTGTACTCATACCAAAACACATTGGGACTTGTGAATATAATTGATCTGTCAAGCAATAGATTAACAGGCCCTTAGTACAGAGAATCTTCCACCAAAGCATCAGTAATGATCACAGGAGGTTCCCATGACCAAGTGGATACTGAGGTCAGAGTTAAAGATAGTTGTGCTAGTCTACGGGCCGCTTTGTTGGCCATTCTAGAGATATGCATAATGGAAGTATTAGGCAAAAGCGCAAGGATCGCTTTGCAGTCCTCCACCAAAGAACCATATGTGGCTCTCTTCTTCTTATTTTGACTTGTAAGTCTACTTTTCTTTGTAGCGTGTTTGAGACGAACTGGAAAAGACGAACTCACATTTGATAAGAATAATTAAGTACATTACGTGTCTACTTGTCCACATTTGACAATTTTTTCTTCTATTTTTATCTTTCCATAGACCAATATGAATAAGAGTCTAGCTTCTTTCTTTTTCTTTTATTTTCCTTTTCCTTTCATTCTTATCAGAACACATTATGATTTGCGTTGGCCATTAGCATTTCCTATCTATCCTACCAATACCAAATAGTACTAAATCATAATTAAATGCTAAAAGCCAAATGAAATGACATGTTAATAGCAACTTAACTGCAGCTTTAAAAGTTCGTTACGGGCACAGGTCAGCTTATCACTAGTATGCTTTTAGAAACACAAACACTCAAACAGTTCATCAAGCATGTGTGCCTGGATACTAAAAAAGAAACTTCAATCTCCTTTTTTAATTCTTCAAAGGAAATAAGTCTATTGTGCCAATATGTGATGGTAAATTCAAACCATGAAGCTAAACTGAAACCATCAATGTTAAATTGATATCATGAATGCTAAATTCAAACTAAATATAGTGTAGTGAAATTGTCATCTTCTTTCTTTTGGTTCATAGGTGTGTGAGGGTAAGTATTCTAGAGCTGTAAGAAGCCATTTCAATGCCTTTAAACCCTTGCATTCAAACTACTTGTTTAGACATGGTGCATCTTTTGGATAAGTTGGTTAGATAGTGTCCCCCCATGAAGTTAGTAGGTGCAAAAATGAGAATTGCTTTTGGATTACAGTCTGAGGTTCCAAGCATTGGGTATCATATTTAGGTTGATTGGACTCTCTCATTTTTCATACTGATGGAGCCAAGAATTTGGGAACATCTTAAGATTCTTGCTAGAATTGGAACCATCCATGTTAATCTAATACAGATTCAAGCCGGGAAATAAACAGTAAATACAAAAGTGATACTTGTGTACATGGTGCTATGATCAACAGTGCTTAGAAGCTTTCTGAGATTTTTCATACTGTCTTCACTTCAGATTGTAAATATTATAGTCTTTTTAATTCATATACCTCATTATTATATTGCAGAAAGGAATCTTCAAAGTAAGGGCATTGGAAAAGAAAAGAAAAGAAAAGGAAAAATATATATATATATATATAGATGCTTCAAGCAGTTCATCCCCATATCATAGAGATGGATACATTAGGAGGTCGTATGAGATGAGAACCAGATAATAAATTAAAACAAAGTCCATGTTTGATATTGTGTTATAGTTCACATTGACCACAATATAAGATAGAAGAAGTCAATGCTCTATATTGACTTCTATAATATACATGACATATTTCAGAGAAAATTCCACACAGTACATACAATACACATAAAGCAACAAGCTAGACCGACAGACACTAAGGTAGCTAAACATCAGACCATGTGATATCTAAGCCACCCCAATTGCCCTCAGGCACACCCAAGGCTTTCCAGACAGCCTTTGAAGCGTCAACAATGTTGTTGGGACAAGGAGGTTGGTAGTCATGGTCTGCATCACATCCCTCTGTAGAGTCACACTCATCTACCACCATGGCCACCACACTGCGCCCGTTACCATTAATTCTGATGTGGTTATGGCACCTTCCTCCATTGCTGTACCATCCAGTGGACAATGCCACAACCGGTGTGTTGTCATTGTGGTATTTGTTGTCACATTCTGATGGACCACCTCCGTCTCCATTTTTCTCAAAACTGTTGAGAGTTAGGTAGGCCTTGGTACTCCCGGACAATGGTGGTGAACATGTGTAGGTCGGGTACATTTTGCCAGCAACGCAGCAGTCAGAGTCATTTTCCTTGTTGCATTGTCCAGGAGGGGCCTTCCTTCCTCTAATCTTACCGCTTGGACGACATTGCTGAGCTTCAGCCACCAAGCAAATTGTTGAAAGGAGAATGACTAGTAGGACAATGGACCCATTTGAGAAAAAGCTCTTCATTTTTTTTTTCTCTCTCTCTCTCTTACTACTATTGGTGCCCTTGAGTGGGATATGCTTGATTTGATGCATAAAGCATTGATGGTTGATATATATAGGAATTCCCCAACCACATTATCCTGGTGATATTAGCAGAACGACAATACTGCATTCCAACTCTGAAAAGAGCTAATTAGTTTCTTTGCCAACTTGGTTTGAAATTCAATATATTATACACTCCATCAACGTAACGGCAATGGCGGAATAATTTTATAATATGGATCAATTATGCTGAGGGTCAAAATTTTAGTCCAGACCCTCGGGCATGGTTATTTTTCATGACATACTTCTATCTATAGTTCCTATTTCTCAATTTTCATTGCAGGAAAGATTGGATATGGCATTACAAATGCTAGTTTAAAATTCTTCAATTTTTCATTTGTACCATGTCATGAACGTTGTTTGCACTTGCTTTTTTTATTTTTTATTTATTTATTTATTTATTTATTTATAATTACTACTCACAGAATCATGAAAAGTTAAGAGTTGGAGGGGCTCCTCTGTTTAGAGTGCTTAAAAGATTTTGGGCATAAGGCAAAATCATGAAAAATTAGGTTTGGAGGGGCTCTCCGCTCATTGAGAGTGCTTAAACTATTTTTGGGCCTCTCCACTCATTGTCAATTGATTTTCGGCTGAATGCCAAAATTCTAATAACATGATATCACAACCATGTCATCCATGTGGTAGACCCAACGGCCCCACACTCCCATGTCACTTTATAAGAATTATTGGAGTGTTAAGCTTCCATCATTCGACGTAAGATAATCTCAACACCTGGTACCTCTTTCGGCCATTATTAAAATTGGAGTTGCACACCCCTCCATTCAAGGCAACTCATTTCATATATATATTCCTTACAATGACAGCACATACGATATTATTATCGCTGTTAAGATCCTACCAATCAAAAATAAGATTCTATTGAAAAGTTAAAACCGTATATGGGAATGCCACCGTGTATATAACGTAGAATAGACCACTTGTTTGCTTCTTTCAGACTGAGGAAACTTGTCTTTTGTTGTTGCATTGGCATCAACAACAAGAATACATAATGTTTTAATATGTCACCTTCCGATGAAAATAAAACAAGAACAATGCTTTCTCTATTATAAATTTTTAAGGATGTTGTCTTTAAATAAAGTGTTTTTCACTGGGAGATGGTTTGCAAGAAAGGAACTATTGGCCGTCATGAATTTTATACTGATTGGGCGTCACTTGGTGCCTCATTTACTGACTCAAATAAAGATTTCAGCATAGAGTATATACAATCATACAATCATTGAACTCCGAAGACTTAAGTCGTTCGAGAATGAGACAATAATATATATCAAGCTAACACCCGTACAGCCTAAAATCATGCACGTGAAAAAGGTAGTATAAAGAGAAAATGAGGACTGGAGGCTTTGATATTATGTTAGACAATTGACCCCAAAAACTTAGGCTGTTGAAGAAGAATCAAACAATGTATGTCAATTAAATAATAATCTCTCTCTATTTTAAGGTGCGATATTGGAAAATTGGTTTTCATTGACAATCTGAAATTCCAAACATTTAATAATCATGCATAATTGTATTGCATATCAGGCCTGGTTAGGCTCATTTGAATCTCTATGAGTTCTAGGTTTTATTACAGGCGTCTCAATCTCCAAAGATGTAAGGATGTGAAGAATTGTCTCGCATTAATTGGAACCTCAATTTTCATCAAAAGAATCTTTCAATTTTTTATTTATTTATTGTTGATGGATCTTTTAGTATTTCTGTTAGTGATGAGTCATTTGGTATTTGAATCAATCCATCTCATACAGATCCGAAACAAACAGTAGATACAAAAATAGGGTGATATAATCAACACCCTTGAGAATCTTTTTGACGTTTTTATTATTGTCTGCGGAGAATCAGATTGTATGATTATGACGTTGTTTAATTCATATACTTCATTAGTTGTATATGGAACGGTATATTTAAGAAACCTTATACTCACTCTACAAATACTACAAAAGTGTCATAATTTGTACACAAAATAACCAGCTGTTTCAGGCAGTTCATGTACTCTATATATAGCCAACTTAGTATCTAACTTCTCCAAACAAACATAAACGAAAGCAAGAGAAAGAAAAAGATGAAGAATCAAATTTTCTCAGGTGCTCTTCTCTTCATCTTAATCATTCTTGCTTCAAACTGGAGCATTGAAGCTCAAACATGCAAGCCTAGCGGCAAGATCAGGGGGACAAAGCCTCCTAAGGGAAAATGCAACAAGGACAATCAGTCCGACTGCTGCGAAAAAGGCAAGCTTTACACCACCTACACGTGCTCGCCGCGGGTGTCTAAGCATACAAAAGCAACCTTGACCATCAACGGCTTTCAGAAGGGTGGTGATGGTGGTGCTCCATCTGAATGTGACAACAAATATCACTCAGATAGCACCCCTGTCGTGGCTTTGTCAACGGGGTGGTTCAACAAAAGGAGCCGGTGTTTAGACCACATTATTATCCGTGGTAACGGAAGGAGTGTCAAAGCCAAGGTTGTTGATGAGTGTGACTCCACCGTGGGATGTGATGCTGATCATGATTACCAGCCTCCATGCCCTAACAATATTGTGGATGCCTCCAAAGCTGTTTGGAAGGCCTTGGGAGTGCCAGAAAGTGACTGGGGTGAATTGGATGTATTCTGGTCTGATGCCTAATTGAGATGTTTCTTCCATCTTGTAATAAAATCAGTGTGAGAGGTTCATTGGGTTTGTTTGCTCATACCTGATAGTGTTAAGAATGTGAGGCTGCCTGCACTTTGATTATCTCTAATTTCCTTCTTTCCTCTATTTCCAAGTTGCTGGTGTATCACGTTTTAATTGAAATAATGAAACAAGTAATTTTGTTAAGATATTTGGCACGTTATGCTATTGAGCTTTCAACCGAGCACTATACATTCAAACAACAGTTGACATAACCAATAGATCCATATCATATGTGTGACAACATAACATACTACATTGCCTTGTAAAATAAACATCTCCATTAATCACATATCTTATATATCCCCGCTTCACCAAAAATAACACAAAATACCCTACAAATGAAATTTTTGAACACAAATCTTACGTCGAAAAGAAAAGGCATTGGAAACCAGTAATGCTTTACTTGTTCATCAATCTTTTGAATGTCAAATTTCACGCATTGCTTTGATAAAAGTTTAGAGGTAGGATTAAATTTCAGGAATAACTTTGATTAAGTTCTATAAGCCTGCTTGCTAGATTCAAAGATGTTCCCTTCAGGATGCTGTAAGGAGGGAAGTTGTCTAATAGGACTTATTTAGTCTAGGTTAGGTCCAGATCTGGCCTCAAATATAAAAAAGAGTAATGCTACAATTACCACATTTTTATCCCACATGATGGGCATATCCATATTATATGTCACATCAATTAAATTAATGAAGTGTATTTTAATTAAGACAATTAGAAAAACAAATATTGAAATAAATCATAAAAGAAAAGAAAATATTAAATAATTTTAATTGATGTGGATGTTCATCTCAACTGCCACATAAGATGATATAAAAATATAGTATACAAATGTGATAAGAGTAACATTATTCTATAAATAAATAAAAAACACTTACTAATGCATGTGTTTTGGCCAGTCCAGTTTGGCCTAAGGCAAGATAAGATTTTAGTTTTGCCCAAGGGCTGGGCAAGAGTGGACACCATAGTCAGTTTTTGGAAGAAAAAAATTGTGGGGCATCAAAAGCTGCTTTTCCAAATGCTTTGGCCTATGAGGATCTGCCATGTGACGCCTTCAATAACAATTGCCTAACGGCTAGTTGTTGGGCTGTTTAGTTTTTTTTTATATTTTAATTATTATATACTCCGAACCCTTTTTACTTGTTTTTTCAGTTGCTTTTTTATATATTCCAAGCCCCTCAAAATTGTTTACAAAAATAAATTTTTGGGTTTCTTTTTTTATGCTTTAATTTTTTATCACATAAAATAACAAATTTTGTGGATTTGAACCCCTCCCACTTTACTCCTCCAACACCTTAACCACCATATATCACTTATGTTTTAGTGCTAATATGCTAAAATATTTATATTTATATGGGTGATATGTTAACAATTGCATGCAAAACCATTTTGGAGATTTATCATTTGATGAATACTCTCACAATACATTTACTCTACACATAGAGATGATGAAGATAGTGAAAATTTTAAATCTCATAGGAACTCTATGTGGTACTAAGTCACTCATGTATCTTACCATGCAATGTATAAAGTGTAAAATATTGTAGTAAATCATTATATATAAATGATTACTGTGTGTTTAATCTTTTTTTCATTAATTATTACTATATATTTTCTACACTCACAGTATTTGCCAGCTCGCTGTATAATCAACTTAAATCAGTTAAATTCATTATGTAATGCATTTCCTTCTAATTTTTTTTTTTATAAACTAATAGATCATTGACTAAATAAACATTCTCCAAAGTTTCAATAAAAATTTCTAAGTTTTTCTTACAATTTCCGTGGTTTTTATTCAATTTTTATCGATATCGATAATATCCCGATATTTCCATTTAAATTTCCATGTTTTTGGACTACCGATATTTCCGATATCATCGATATTTTAGACCATGGTTAAAACAGCACCTAGCCCCTTGTCATTGCCCCTTGCATTAGACATTCTCTAAGAGAGTCCTGCAATAATTTTTTAGATGTTTGGATGTGGAGATGAAAATTAGAATTTGGTTTCTCATGAAATTAAGGGCTTGTAAGACAAATGCAGATTCCTCCGCAGCTTCATTCGTTCCTGGACACACTCTGTTTTACGAATACATATAACCTCAAAATTACTTTGAATCGCTACTTGGAACAGGATGGTAAAACAACTTTTACTAAACAAGATTTGGATTCAGCTACCAACACCACTGGAGCAAATCAATAGTAATCTTGCTACCAACATCCATACCAC